GATCATAGTAGAATAGAGGGAGGGGACCAAGGGCATGAAGAGGGGTAGTGCTGGGGACAGAAGTAGAGAAAATGATATTTCATGCTTTTGTGATTATGTCAAAGTATATCCTAATATTATATACAACTAAAAAGAATGAATTAAAATTTTTTGAAAATAAAAAGAATATCTCTTCCTGAATAGAAGGTCCCAATACTTTTGCTGGAATGGAAATATGATCATCTTTTTTCACCAATGAAAACTTCTCTGTGAAAGGAACCATGGTTTTAAGAGGAGGGAAGGGAGAAAAGGAGAGGGGAAAAAGGAAGAGGAAAGAGAGAGAGAGATTTTTAACATAAATTCAATTTTTCCTCATGAAATACCTACAAGACTGCATTGAACATAACCTAGAATAGGAAGAAAAAGTTATGTTTATGTTGTTTGTGAATTCTCCTGGTTTTATGTACTATTTCTTCTTATATGATTTCAGCACATATATGATTCCATAATTTACCTCTTTGTTTCTGCCTTTAGTAAAAATCTTTTCATATTAAAAAAAATTTTGTACCAGGATATTTTCCCTGAGCTCTCTGTTCATGGGTATATTAAATAGACAGTGTTTTTCCAAGCTCACTTTCTAGGCCACTGTGAAACAATTTTGGTTTTCCATTTTTCTATCATTTTCATGCTTGGCTACTTTTCTAAAAAGTTAAAAAAAAAAAAAGAAAAGAAAATTGTTGAATATAGTGATGCTTCCTCCTGCAGAAAGTAGTAAGCACTTAGGTAGCTCCCCAAGAAACAGATAAAGGAAAGCTGTCCATGGTGCTGGATCTCAATCTCCAACACAGCTGACAGCTCCTCCAACAAGAATTCAAGAATTGTGAGGAAGAATCCTGCAGAGAAGGGGAGGAACTGCTCTGTAATTAGCCGACTCTCTGTGATGTTGTGAAATTCATGAAAACAGAATGAAAGCTTGACTGGAATCACAGCTATTTGGGATCTTATTTGCATTCTCTCTTAAGCCTGAAGTGCTATAAATAGAAAAGTCTATACATAGCGATGAGTTGTTTCCACCAATAGTGATTTCATGTTTTAGAAACATCTAGAGACATTATTCATAAAGATCCATTTCTGCACACTTTCCCACTGAGAATCTCCCTCTCTTGACACTGCAGGTGGCCAACTTTGAAATCTGCTAATGATCCGTTAGATACAAAGAATGCAAGAATTATTATTCTTTAAGCTAATATGTGCAGAAATCCTTTTAGTTCTAGAAGATTTCCTGGCATCTGGTTATGTTATATAAAAACCAGGCACCTCTTTTAAACCAAATTTTTTTGTTTTTTTTAATTAGCTAATTTTTTCTAATAATAATTTTTAAAAATAATTTTAAATACCCATAGAAACTCAATGACAGTCACTCATTATGCTTACCATACTGTAGACTTGTAATCTAATATTCTGTAGCAGTTAAAGTGCCAAAACATACAGATATATTTAGATGCATGGTATTTTTTTAAACTTAGTTTTAAACCAACTGAGTGAATGGTTTCCTCCTTCATGTTATAGTTAAGTGTAATTATATATGCAGCAGACTACATATTGTGCTAGTAAAGTAAAAACCCTCTATAATCTTTGTATCTTGATATAGAAATATCTTGTTTTCAGATATATATTAGTTAAAAGTTAAAATATAGTCCAAAGAGTAATAAAATTATAATGCCCTGGCATCACGCTAAGAACTCAATAGTAACGAATGCCCATCAAACTTTACTCTTAAAAAGAAAAGTTGTGCCAGGGGGTTGCCTTTAAACTTAAAGTAAACTATACATGAGGATTACCTGATGACTTTAAAAATACAAAATCTTGGCCTCACCCCAGAACTTCCAGATCAGAATCTCAGGAGAGCAGAGGAATATGCACTTTAAAAGCCACAGAGAGAACTCTCTAGTAACATCTGTGATTGGACCACAGATAAGCCTCAGAAACTGCTTTCATAGGAATTCACATGTTACAGAGCTGAAGTTTCAAATTCTTGCTGCATCTACATTTCTTGTTACACATGCTGTGTGTTACAGAGATTTATTCATGTATTGTCTTCCCCAAAGACTGTAGAAGTGAATCTTACTAACTTTCTGGCACATGGCTCTATCTGCAACATATGTTGCAAATATTTCTTTCAAGCAAATATTGCTTGAAAGAAACTGGCAAAAGTATGGTATTCTGGTGCACAGGTAAAAACTTCACCAACAACTGGATTCTTTTCCAGACCTACTTTTTATTCATAAAAATGTCATGACTTCCTTGGAGAGGGATTTGTACTACAGTTTCTATGTGGTTTGCTGTTCTTATGAAGGATAAAATTTTTAAAACTTTCTCATATAAAAAATATACATTTCATGTGATTACATTCTCATATAACTTGTTATACTAAATAGTGCCAAACAAATTCTCAGCAATGTCTGAACAAGATAAATTGGGCAAAGAAGGATGATATTGTTTCAATCACTGTTTCTGAAAGTCTACTGTTTTATATACAATCCATCAATGGGTATTCCTTTTTCTGGACAATGTTACCTTCTGCTTCAGGATGTGGAAAAGCATCAAAGTGGCTTAAGTGACAGAGAAAATCTCTGAGTTTGTAGCTTCTGAATAAGTTGGATCTAGTAATGGGAATCTTTGGCAAGATATGGATAGAAGAAACCATTAGATTCACATGTGGTACAGTCAGTAGCAAAAACAGATTTTAAAAAGTCTACTGGTGAAATATCTGGCACTCTAGTCTTTTGAAACTTGAAGGTGTAATTCAAAGTGAAGTACACAGAGGTGCCATCATCAGGAAGAATCTCCAATGGTTAAAGTTGACAGTCACTAATGAAAGGCTGAGAGACATCAAGATGGGACAAAGGGCTGTACACTTGCCCTTAGAGAGCCAGAAAAGGTGATTATCTCTGTCCTTGAACTATTTTCTATAAAACCTATATTTCCCTCTCCACCGTATCTGCCTACTGATGCACAAATAAACACAGTTGTCACCACACAAATTAATACAACCAACTTCTCACAACATCTGATGAAAGCAAAAAGGAAAGGAGACTTGGTTTACCAATAGGACATAAAAATCATGTTGTCCTTGGTTTTTAACAGAAAAGCACCCTTTCTGCACCTCAAATCTATTAAGATCTATGTGATCAAGGCACTTAATTAGTGTTCAGATTGGTTTTATTTTCAGATACATGGTATTCTCCTTTGTCTTGAAAAAAAAAGTTAATTTTTTACACTCCTAGACATTATTCTAGAATGGAAATTATCGTAATACTGATCTTTAACCTTTTCCCCAACCTTGAAAACCTATGTGATTTTATATGTTCATTACGTGTAAACTGCTATGAAATTGCCCTGAAAGTTATAAAAGGAATAAATTACTGATGGCTTAGAGGATTAGCCTGTGCATTTGTAAACTCTGAGGGTCTCCAAGCCTTACATGCCAACAAAGCTGTTAATACATAAACTTTCTCCATAGCACTTTATCCCACTAACACAAAGAATTAATATAAAAATAAAAACATTTTTAGAAAAGTAAACCCTTTCACAATTCACTTAAATACTATTTAGTATAGAAGAAATTGTCTTTTCCCGTGAGCAAGTTTATTTTAGATTAAGAGAGGACTGAAAAGGAAAAGACCACAAGATGAAAACAGCAAGAGAGAAATACCATGGTATAGGTAAGACTACAACCAGATTAGGAGGCTGAATAATAAAGACAAAATATGCTAGCTTTCTAATTATGGAGGCTAGTTCTGGCAACTATCTTTAGGAGCTAACGATCATAATGAAAGGTAAGATATAAGTAGGGGAAAAAACAAAGATCCACATATGGCAAGGTGTGTGGACTAAGGAAATAATGAGAGAGAAAGAGGAGAAAATAACATCCATATTGAATGAAATTTATATTATAGAAAGTGGCAAAAAACTCAAACTAGCTTAAAAACACAAAAGAGGGTAGACTATGTGTATTCATGTAACTACACAATAACAGCTGATTCTGCTGCCCAAATAATGTCATCACTAACCTCTCTCCCCCAGTCGCTCCTATTTCCTTGCTAGATATTAGTTATCTACTCTTAGCAAGGCTTTCCCTCTGGATAAGCAAATGCCACTAGCAGCTTCCCAGCAGAAAAAGAGCACTCTCCTCAGAGTTTAGCAGAGGCCCTGCCCCCAATGCCAGGCAGCCTGGTGTGCCCCATGTACCCATCTTGCACACTGTGAGTGGTAGCAAGAATAGAGTCTGCCCCTTGTAGACAACGTGGCTGAGAATGATGGATGGGTGGGTCCTGCCAAGGAAACTGGGGCTACTGTTACTTTAAAGAGGGGAATGGATACAGGGAAGGCAGAAATAACAGATTCTAAGTCACTTCCCCCTCCTGAGAATGCTTTCCTGGCAAGTAAGAGGAGTATTTTTTCCTGAGCTCTGCTTTCATAGACACTCACAGCCTGGGGCCACCAAACCATATTTTAAGTAGGAGAGTTGTATAGTCATTACAGCTCCCCACTGTGCCTTTTTTCAGAATTACACAAGTGCAGCTTTTGGAGGACTTTGCCCTCAATATAGGGAGCTTATCACAGCTTAAAATTCTCCTCTGAGCTTTGAGCCTGAGATGGCTTTTCCTAATAGACATTTGAAGCACTTTATTGAAGCAGCAGCACACATATTTAATGAATCCCTGAAAAGGCACCTAGTGTGAAATAAAAGATGAGATAAATCAAAAACAAAAATAGATGGCTTAAAATAGCTTTCATTGCTTCTGACAATCTATAAAGCTGTCCATCTGCTTTCAATATAATACACACAGATAAAAATACTCAAACATTAAAACACAGGAAAAAGGGAAGAAAAACTCCACTTATTAGACAAGTTGAAATTTTTGTAGGTTTATTTATATATGCATGAGTACATGTGCATGTATGTGTATAAAATATCAGTTATTTTCTGATTTTTGAAATTGCTTTTCTTTTCTCAGTGATAGTGACAACTGGTTTTGTGAGTGTCCAAGGCTGTACTCAGGGAACCTGTGCCAGTTTGCAAGTTGTGAAAACAACCCATGTGGAAATGGTGCCACCTGTGTTCCCAAATCCGGAACAGACTTTGTCTGCCTCTGTCCGTATGGGAGATCTGGACCCCTCTGCACTGACGGTAAGACATTAACATGTGGCACAGGCAGAGAGAGATGAAGAGGACAGAAGTGACTTAGAGACATAAAGGATAGCACCTGGTGGATCAAATACATCAGATTCTTTTCTTGGTTCTTTTCAAATTAGTTGAGACAAGACTCACTACTGACACTGATCACTGAGCAGGTGTTTCTCATACCTATCACGTAATTGCAAAAGACATAATGAGCTTTCCCTGAGGTTAGACTGCAGAAAACCTATGCATTATAAAATCTTAAAGTCAATCTAATAATAAGAAAGTAACAAGGAAAATCAAGAGCAATACATGGAACCAAAGTATCTTATATCATTTTGGCAAACTGAGGGCATAATAGTAATAAATTTACATATCATAACCCAATTATTTCACATTTAAACATAACAAAATTATGACTTGGTTATTATATACCAAGAAATTAAATCATGAAGAACAGTTCTATGCCTCTCCTTAGGAAAATTCAGGATGTGTAAAGCCTAAATTGTACAAAATAACAAGATGCTATATGATAAGATTACTTTAAGAAGCAAATTGTCTAAGAATTTAGTGTTAGTTTGATATCAGCATGAAATCAATGTGTATATAAATACTTTCAGAAATAATAAAAAGTAACATATTAATATTTAATCAACACAGGACCAGATCTGTTTCATCTTTATTTTTACCATAAGGTAATAAACAATCTGGGAACATTGGCATGTGTCTGTAAACTCAGATGCTTGAGAGGCTGCGACAGGAGAATTGTGAGTTTAAGGCAAGCCTGTGTAAATTAGCAAGAACCCATGGTATTGGGAATCACACTCCAGAGCTAATGCTTGGCAAGTGCTCTAGCACTGAGCTACTTCCCCATCCCCTGAGAATTTTATTCAGTGTGAGGCAGTGTTATACTCGATGTTAATCAAAGTCATTTTATAAAAAGAAAAACATCGTAGACTGCATGAAGTTGAAGTCTTGCCCTTTCCTATAAAAAACCTCATGTTTCTAAAACATAATCATTTCATTTAGATAAAAGTTTTTCAAATGATGGGTCCATTCCCAGTCTTCTGAGAAATCTTCATAATTCTTTCCAAAGTAGTTGCACTAATTTGCTGTCCTACTAACAATGTATGCATGCACCTTTCTCTCCATATCCTAACAAGTATTTACTGTTATTTGTATTCTTGATGATTCTCATTCTAATTGGAGTGAGATGAAATCTCAATGTCTATTTGATTTGCATTTCCTTAATTGCTAAAGATATTGATTTTTTCATATATTTGTTGGCTATTTGCATTTCTTCTTTTGAGAAATGTCTTTCATATGCCCATTTTGATTAGGTTATTTGGTTGGTTTTTGGTGGAGTTTTTTTGAGGGGAGGGGTGCTTTTCAATTCTTTATATAATCTGCTGTCATAAGAGTAGCTAGCAAAGATTTTTTCCTTTCTGTAAGCTCTTTCTTCAAGGCCATAGCTATCCCACTCCTTTATATTTATCCAAAAGAACTAAAACCAGCATACCATATGAAGATGATATATGCATACCATCATTTGTAGTAGGGCAATTCACAATAACCAAGGTATGGAACCAGACCAGATGACCCTCAATAGACAAACAGAATAAGAAAATGTGGCATATGTACACAAAGGGTTTTACTCGGCCATAGAAAAGAATAAAATTATGTCATTTGCTGTTAAATGGATAGAACTGGAGAACATCATGCTAAGTGAAGTAAAACCAGATCAAAAAGTCAAGGGTTGAATGTTTCTTTCATATATGGAAGCAAGTGAGAAATAAGGAATTTTTTTAAGGGGGAAGTGAATCTCATGTAAGTAGAAAAGAAATCATTGGAGTAGAAGAAGGGAATAGAGAGCACATGAGCAGGGATGAGAAAGGGGAGGAATTTCAGAATAAAATTGAACAAATTTTGCTATGTGAATATTTGAGTATATCACAATAAATTTCTTTTTTATGTATAACTATAATGCACAAATTTAAAAATGGTTTAATAGAAGGAAGACCAATAAAGTAGAGGTAGGGGATCAGGGTGAGTAAGGAAAAAAGGAGAGAGAGTAGTTCAGGGAATTGAAATGGAGCAAATTATGTTATATGCAATTCATAAATATGTCAAAATTGAACCTCACAATCTTATAAAACTATAATGCACTAATAATAACATATATTTTAAAAATTAACAAAAAATATTGAAAATGCAGTTGGTTGCAATAAATTTGATTACTAAGGAATGAGTCATCATTTTGCTTCCCAGTTGAAGATTGATTAATCATATAAAATAAGAAATGAAGATTTATATTTATATATCTTCACATATTCATGCACCAAAAAAAAGATTGTTTATTCCCATCTCTTGGATTTCAATTAGGGTTCAAAAGATGCAGAGATTTATTGATTTTTGGTACAGGAAAAACAAAACAAAATTTATTAGACTGTAAGTGTAAGTAAGAAAAAAACTCCTGCATATACCATCCAGAGGAATTTCTCAAAATAATCAGCCTATCCATTAATATGTACTACAAAGCTACAAATCCAGGTAAAGGTATCAGAAATTTAAAGCCCTTATACAACTTGCCCGCTAATTGAGGAGATGAAATAAAATAAAAATGGTTCAAGACACAAAAACAAACTTCTGAGAAGAAATTATGAAAGAAATAAACCGTAAGTGAGAGGCAGTAACTATAGTGAAGGGCGTTATTGTAAGACAGGTTGTCAGGACAACAACTCTCAAAGGAGATATTTGGATGAACACCTAAAGAATAAGGAGCATGCCACATAAAACACAGGAAAAGAACTGTCCAGATAGAAGTTTCAGAAAATAGAAGACAAAGATTGAACCTGGGCTTTTGGAAGCATAAAAGGGTGCTGGGACAGGTATGTAAGCATCATAGTCCATTTGGGCTTCTGTAGCAAAATACTATAGACTGGTTGCTTATAAACAACAAACATGTATTTATTTCCCCATCACAGAAGCTGAGAAGTCCAAGGTTAAAGTGCTAGTAGATCTTGTTATGGTGAGGGCTGGTTTCCTGGTTAGTCCTCCCAATATATCCCCAGTGATACAGAGACTATCCAGCTGGTTTATAAAGGCACTAAACTCCTTCATGAAGACTTTGCCCCATGACCTAATCATATACTCACAAAGACCACCCTTCTGAATATCATTCTATTGGGGAAATTTTTTTGAAATATGAATTTGTGGAGACATAAACAGTCGACAGCAATGAGTAAGCAAGGAAGAAAATCACAAATGTTTTTGCCAGGACCTGGATCATAAAAGGCCTTAGAAATATGAGAAGGTTTTGGATTTTCATTTCTAGATGTCTTAAGAAGCCATTGGAAAGTTTTAAACAGCCATTGGTGGGTCTTAAACAGACTTACATGTTTGGCTTAACCCATTTTGACTATAACCGAAGAGATTTTGGGATGGCTGTCATAGTAGTCATGATAAAAGATAATTAAGCATAGAACAGAGTGATGGCAGAGGAGATAGAAATGACTGGGTGCATTTGAAGTCTGTTCTGAGAAAAAAATTGACAGAACTTGCTGGGAAGAGTGTGAGATGGGCAGAACCATGGACAACATTTAGATTTGTTTTACTTGTGTGAACGGCAGAGTAGATGGTGCTGCCATGAGGAAAAACAGGGACATAACAGAGTTTTTTATAGGAGATCATAGGAAGGCAAACCAGAGTTTATTTTGTGAAGATGAAGAAAAAGATGCCTATTTGACAACCAAATGGAAAGGACATGGAGACCACAGGATGTATGATGGTGGTGCTCTGAGGAGGGACAAGGACTGAAGACATTATTGGGGAGTCATCAAACAGAGATGTAGGTTAAAAATATAGAACTGTATATTGTCTAAAGAGAAAGTACACAAAAAGAAAAGACAGTATAGATACAGAAAATAACTTAAATGGAAGGAGGCAAATCCTAGAGAATCCCTCCAGGATTCCAATCTTCAGGGTTTTGGTGGAGGAGATAAAGCCATATCAAATATGAATGCCACCCTTTGACAAATGCCCCCATCATCATTCAGCCCCTAGGTATTGCTCCTTGCATGATGTGTCATTGTGTTCACCTGAATTCCCCTCAAAAGCAGAACCTCAATAAAAATTTGCATTTAAGTTGTTTATTTTGGAAATATAAAACTCCCAAGAAACAGGAATTAAAGCCTTAGAAAGAATAAAATGGGGAAAGAAAGAAAAGTCCATAGAAAAGCATATGTGATGTTGAGCATGGCCAAGGGCGATTTTGCTTGATTTCATGAGGATCTTGGGAAGAGCTATATAATGGTTTTGCCAGAATTATCTGCTCAAGAATCTCAAGAAAATACCACTTAAACATTGGCTCTTGGTTCATTTTGATTGAGAGTTTTCCCACAGGACATTAATTTTCCCACACTTCTAGATTGTCATGCAATACTGGTGATACTGCTGACTCTCCCAGGCTTCTTAGGTTAGGCCTAAGTGGAAGAGAAACTGAAGCTCAAGGAAGGAGAGCTTAGTACATTAAGATCCCATAATAATCACTGAAATGTCCACTCTGGTTTTAGCTTCCTCCAGGAGCCATTTTTACATCAAACAAGAATCGATACTTTGTATATTCCACTATCTAGTGTGAGGTGATACCCCAAATCATCTCAGACCATTTACTGTTACTAGGATGACCTCTATGAGAAAGTCCAGAAATGCAAAAAAAAAATACTTATTGGAGAAAAGCATAGAGCAAATTAATAAGCCTACCTATAGCAAAACTAAAACTACACACTAGAACAAGCACAGAATGAGATCTTTCAACCTTTTTGTTAATACCAGAGGATGAAAAATCAAGTTTATTTCATCAGCAGTTGGTTCTCCTCCATTGCACTTTTCTTTCAAATTATGTCCACATCTACCATCCTAATATATTCTTTGGGGAATAATAGAACATGTAATTCTAACGTTTTCTACCTTGCTGATATTTCCACTGGGGAATTCATTCTGGGGTGAGGGTGGCAGTGATGAATAGAGCGAAGGCAAACAAACATTGCAAATGGAAAATTTGCAGCTGTCTTCCCTTGTAAAGAGCTTTACTTTTTACCTCTGCATTCCTCATTCTCACTTCCCCTTGCCTATTGCAATAACGTATGATTTATTCTTGTTTTCTTAGCCACATCATTGCAAAAATAAAGAGGGAATGTTTTATCTTGTCTTTTTATCCTCATGTTCCTATGGTAAATATTTCTTAGGTAATTTACATTATCCTGCCAAACTTGGATATCTTCATGGGAAAACAGCCCTTGGGAAAGACAATAGAGCATACACCACTCTGTAATAAATCTGCCTGGGTTAAAATTCCCACACCACTGCTGACTAGCCAGCAGAGTGGCCTTGGACAGATCATTTGGTCTCTCTGTACCACATCTTTAGTGAATCTAATAATAGAATCTTGTAGAGTTCACGAAAATTAAGTCAGAAAATGCATGTAAGTGCTTAACACATCACTGAACATATAGAAAAAAAAATTGTTTATCAAAAGTGGTCAAGGTAGTCCTCCTCCCCTACAGGGCACTGGTACCACTTGTCATTGTAGGAAAGAAGGCTGGATCGCCATCGTGACTGAAAAGAAATCTCTCTAGGATGTCAATGGAAATTAAAATTAATTTCCTTTGAAGAATGATTTCAAGTTGATGACACTCTTTGCAGTGATTAAAGACACACGAGGGTATTACAAAATCAGGGAGAAAAGCAGCACTGCAGGGACATGGATAATCACCAGGCTATTTAAGGACAAGATACCTCCGTAAAGCAGCTTAATGTCAGGCTGGCATTTTGTAATGGCATATTTCAAGTACACGTAATTTTCTGTCATGTAAGCTCATAACTCCTTTGATGGCATCCACTCTGATACGATCAGGCTTCCTCTCTCCAACTCAACAGCTGTTTCATTACCCTGCTGTTCAAAGCATCTCAGGTTCCTTCATTTCCAACAATGTTTAAATCTGTATTTTCCAGCTCATGGTGACAAAGAAATGTTAAAAGATCAAGCCCAATCCCAGAGGGGAATGAGGTGACAAGGGCAATTGTGGCCACACACGAAAGTGCTCAGGAAAGTGATTCCTCCTGCTCGGAGCTGAAGGCAGCCTTTGAGTGGTCTGCATTTTTCTTCTTTAAGAGCTGAGGAAAATTGCCTTTCCTTTTGCTCAGTGGGAAGATGAGCACGGCCTGTCTTTCACGTTTCCCCTTATTTCAGCATCTGTAAAGAAAAAAGTTAGGTTGACACATATAAAAAAAGCAGCACTTAAGTACATATTTCAATGTACACTGAAATGTTCTTGAAAAATAGTTTTGGTGGACTCCTGCTCCCTAACCCATTGACATCTTGAATTAATACCTCTCTTTTATCCAAGTGGTAGTCCTAGCAGAACAAAGTTGTTTATCATTCCAAAGTTATCATCAGTCGTACTTTTTGTTTTGTGCTTATAAACACAAATATTGGGAAATATTTCCTGATCAAAGGTTTTCATTGGATTTATAAGTTTCATATGTCTGTTTAATGACAGAGCTTTTCTCTAAAGGCATTGTCTTTCTACCAATGACTGGTATTAAGTTTTTATTAAAACAGATATGTAATTAGATATATTAAATATATGTAAATATAAAAACATAACATGCACAAACATGCATCATATATATATACATACATACATACACATACATATACAAACATAAAATTAGAAAATATCGTATTTTGACTTGGAGAATTATACTAGTTCTAGAAGAGTCTACTAGTTGTCTGTCTAATATATTTTGTCCAACTTTTTCATTAATTCACCCCTGATATTATTTGGGACAGTGATGTACCCAGCTAAAATTTACCTGCCTCCCTTAAAGCAGAGTGTAGCCCTGGGACTATGTCCTGGACAATCAAACACGTGCAGAAGTTTTGACTGTGTCATTGACCTTTGGGAAACCTCCTTAGGAGCAGTGTGCCCTGTCCCCCCATCCTTCCTCCTTCCTGAAGCATAGAATATAGACAATATGACTTGAATGTCAGAAGCCATTGGAATCATGAGATAACTTTGAGAATAGAAGACATATGCTAGGTTGATTCATAACACGTAGCTCAGAAGTGAACATCACACAGGGTCCACTGCTGACCAACCATGAAATGGTGCGAACAGAGACTGAAGAGAAGATGAGAGGGAGGCATCTAATGCTCCCAGAGAGAGAACAGAAGTCCAAGGATCTTTGCAATTCAGGGAGTAGAGGAATAGGCTTTAACTGTGGAGAGATATAAGGTGTATATTTTGGTGTGTGTGTGCTTAAGATGAGAAATATTTGATTATATTTATGTACTATTGATAAGATCCTGAGTAAA